TCATGTCTTTCTTTCATGTGGAGTTTATGGAATTATTAGCACGAATCGTATGTTTACCCATGCCCAAATTGGTATACATAAAACATAAATTAGTTCGGAAGTGAGGGTACTAAAATAACGTTCTTTTTAGGGATGTTTCGCTATTCTAGCCCTGGTACAACCTCTACTAGCTCTTCCTTTTTCACAATTTCATTACCAAACAATATATGCAACGTGATACCTAAAGACTAAATTAGTTGATTTTATTTACAAGCATTAATCACGTAGGAATTACATCGCAAAAGTCGTTATTCTTTGTTTAGTCAATATTCGTGAAAAGAACAAAATAAACAATATTCGCCTTGTCTTAAGTGATAAAACAACAATTAATTATCAAATTCTATTCTCGATTAACAAAAGAATACTATGTGAATTAATTAATAAAAAGTTTGTTTAAGGTGATCAAACAACACTATTTATTCAATTAAAGTTATTTAAACAATAAAGGAAAAATGATTTATCTAAGTGCTCAGGAAACTAACCATTCTTTTTTTTTTTTTATGTTAAATCTCCGTGTAATGTGTTTATGGACTTTCTTTCTTCTTCGTACCTTCAAGAGCTTCAATGGATGGATTAGGGTTGAAGGATAGTTGGGAAGAAAGACGAAAAAGTAGTATGATAGTAAGAAAAGTAGAGAGATTAGGGTTTTGAGAATAATAGGGTTTTAATTCTGATTTTTCTTGTCCTCGTAATGCTGAACGAAGACCCCTATTTATAGGTGTAGGGATCTAGGTTTAGGGTTTTAGAGTCGCGCCGTCAGGTGGTGCGCGCAACTCTCTGAGTCACGCTGGGTGCCGCGCGCATCAAAAAGAGTCGTGCGCGCCAGGCGCGCGCAACTTATTGAGTTGCGCTGGTTTGCGGTTTGCCTTATACGAAAGCGCGTTTTTAAAACTTCCATAACTTTTGATTGCGGAGTTGGATTAAGGTGTGTAAGATATCATTGGAAATATTTGAATGTCTACTTTCCAATGCCATTTTAATTAGGTTAAAATATCTTGTGGATCAAAAGTTATGGCCGTTAGAGTGCAAGGGTGTCGGTTTTAAGGCCTGGTTTAGTGTTTTGATCATAACTTCTTCGTTTTGGCTCGGAATTTGGCTTATAATATATCGTTGGAAAGATATTTGAAAGGGATATCCATATGTATAGGCTTTGCATGGGAATTTGATGGTTGGTTTATCTTTTTGGCTCGTTTTTCAACAATGTAGGTTCCATTGGATCCAATCATTGCATTTGCCGCATTTGGGTCCGTTATTAATCAAGTTTAAACATGTATGAACATGTTTTAGGCCTAATTAATAATCGAACAAGGCTCTAAGATAAATTGGTCTTAAATATGGGTTTCAAAAATGCATTTTGTAGTCCATAAACACTTTAACTTTGATTTAACATGAAGAACGAATTTTCGTAACATCATCGCACTTCCTTTCGGGACAAGAGGCCAAAAGTAGGTGTCTACAAGTATATCCTTATATATTTTTTTTACAAAAAGTACTACAAGTATATATATATATATATATATATATATATATATATATATATATATATATATATATCAATAATTTAAGGACGAGCTTAAAAAATCAAGGACGTATTTGTGACTTTGTGTAGCTAGTAAGCAGTATAAGTTTTTTGCGTCTTTTGGTAATATATTTTATTAGTAACTCCGACGATTTAAATAATATTTCGAAACATATACTGGTTTGCAAAAAACCAAAGATATTAAGTACGAAGTATATAGTTATTTAAAAGTCTCCAATCATTAACATAGTAAATATTCCGCAATCTTGATTACAAAGCAACACTAAAAATGCATATATATTTGGTTTTGAGTTCAAACACCAAGTTCTTATTAGTGCCAAATTTTTTTCCTCGTGAAAATGACTTTTTTTAAAAAAATAAAATAAAATTTGTAGTAGCACTGTAGTTTTTCAAAGAATCAAGTGTTATAAAAATGTTAGTAATTTTATACTATAAGAGATAATAACTGTTTGTACTCCAAATGAATATAACAATTTTAATCATCAACCTTTTTCTTAAATTAAGATCAAAGCATGTTCTGATTTACGTATTAAACTCAACTCAACTGAATTGAACTGAACTGAATTGTTTATAGGAGTAGAAAATTAGGAACTAAAATGAAATGAACTAAACTGAATTGAATAGAAATTAAGCTGAAAGAACATGTCCTAAAATAAATCCATTGAAGTTATGATTTCATGAGAATATATATGTTGTAAACACAATGAGGGAAGATATAGATGCATTATTTCAAAACAATGGAATGGATATATTTTTAACTCTATGTTATAAAATAATTGAAGTGTCTAATAATGAGAATTAACTATCTAGGTAATTTAATGCTCCGTTTGTCCCAGAATTATTGGAATATTTGACTTTTTTTTTATCAACTTTGACCATCTTTTATTGCTACTATGGGTCTGTTCACATTTATTGAAATGAGCTGAACTGAATTGAACTGATTAGAGTTGAACTGAACTGATTGGAACTGAACTGAGCTGAGCTAAGCTGAAATGATAATTTTATGAGAGAGGGAAATTAGAAGCTGAACTGAATTGAAGTGAAATTAAGTAAACAAGCCCTATATGTCTATATTATATAAAATAAAATTCTAATAACAACTCAATATTTCAATAATATACATTAAGATAAATCCAACGAAAATAAGGTGAACTAAACAAACACTTAATCTAATGAGTAATAAATTAATTGTCATATGTGCGTGTTGCCATATGGGAGCGTGTGTCAAATACAAAATTAAGATTTTTTTTTGGGAATTTTTTACCATAATGGTTTTTTGGTAGGTGATATTATTTTTTGTATTCCACATATAATTGTTTTTAACCCTTCATTATTTATTTTTAATCCTTCACTATTTTTTTTAACCCTCCATCATTGAATTATTTTATCACTTGATTCTTTAGTTTATGCTTACATTATATGGATAATTTTTTGTACTTTCACCCTCTATCTCTTCCTTTTTTCCACTACCAAAAAAGTTATAACCAACTAATATGGTTCAATAATAAAAGAACGGAGCATTATTTATATTCTCATGATAATATAATGGTGAAAATCCCATTTTCAAGGAAATTAACAAAAAAAATTTTTATTTAATACCAAGAGTTGGAGTATATATTTTTTAAAAGAAAAAAGGGTCAATGTGGTAAAATAATATAAAGAAGAAAAACATTAACTTTGAGACACGGTACTAGATGCATGATATACGTGGCTTATTTAAGCCCTGTTCATTTCACCTTACAAAATAATATTCAGTAAAAATAATTTTAGTTTAGTAAAAATAAGTTCAATTCAGTTAAAATAAGTTCAGTCCAACAAAAATAATTTCAGTTCAGTAAAAATAATTTCAATTCAGTAAAAATCAATTAATATAAAGAAGAAATAAAATAGAGATTTTGTAAAAATAATTTCAGTTTAGCAAAAATAATTTCACTTTAATAAAATTGTAGGTTTGAATGCTATTTAATTACAAAACCTGTTGAATTGGTTTTTATTTTATTTTTGTCCAACGATAACTTAGAATTTATTAGTAACCTATTACTAATATTTTGTTTTTGAAATATAATACAAATAATCCAAGTTATGTGTCAATTTGATCTTCTTACTCATGCCTTTGAGTATAATATCTATATCAAACTTACTATAGTAGATCAAACAGGGTAGTACGTAACACCAACTACAACTCAATACATGTACTTATCAAGTTTTGTACATCCAATATGTATGCTACATTGATACTAATATATATTGTATTTGTTACTAAATTATCATTAAACTTACTAACATCAACTATAACTCAATACCATGTTCTAATTAGATTTCTCTGTCAACAAATGCTTTGCACGATTCTAGAAGTTTGTCAAAACCAGATTATTATTGAATTCAATTAAATAACAAAAACAATTAAATTAAAATTCGAAAGGATTATATATTTAACAATCTAATGACAATTATAATTGCATTTGAAATTAGACGTTAACACAACTTTAATTTGGTGTGAAATAAAATTTTAAGACATGAATTGTTGAATGTTTTTCTTAAAAAAGGAACTTGCTGTATTGAATATCAGTTTAATACGAGTATAAAGTGTGTTAGTTTAATAGGACGGAGTATGGAGTTCATATTATTCTCGAAAAAAAAAAAATTGTCAAAAAATTTTACACCGTTAATGGCTTCCATATTTTCTTCTCCAACTATAATTTTAATGCTTGGATTAGTCTTTTGTTTTTTACGTGCAAAGAAGTTGTTATAAAAAGTAATTTATTGAAGGTTGAGCTCACAATTAATAGAAGTTTGGCACCAATATTAATATCCCGCTTAACCTTACTTTGTGGCTCCATAAAGCAAAAAAATTCCCCCTCATTTTTCCCTCTTTTATTTTCAGCTTTGGGTGTGTGGCAGTTTTACTGGTGGTGTATGTTTACCCCACCCCACGTACACCCAGTGTATGTATATGTGTATCATTTCTCTCAACCGATTCAACCCGATCTTTACTAAAAAACATCTCATAAAAAATTTAAATCGTATGTGGCAGTTTTTTACTGGTGGTGTATGTTTACCCCTCATACACCCAGTGTATGTGTATCATTTCTCTCAACCGATTCAACCCGGCCTTTACTAAAAAAAAACATCTCATAAAAAATTTAAACCGGGCATAGGATAAATACTACTAGTTCCTCTTAAAATAAAATAAAATAAAATAAAATAAAAATTCAAATCGTATGCCGCGACATTAAAATTTTCAGGTTTTTGGTTTTTCAAAATTTTGAGAAGTACTTTTGTGTTTCATTTGTTTTCCCGCTTTTCAATTTTATTTACGTTCCACTCTCTCTCTCTCTCTCTCTCTCTCTCTCTCTCTCTCTCTCTCTCTCTCTCTCTCTCTCTCTCTTCCATTTTAAGCGTGCGCAGACTTCTCCATTGAAGCTTGCTCAGAGCTTTCTCTCCTCCATTGAAACAACTTCTCAGGTAACATTAATTTCCTAAAATTAAATTCTCATTATAGACTTTGGTTTAGTTCCACATTTTACTTGTTATGCTCAATTTAGGGTTCTTCCGACCATTGAATTATTGGTTATAATTACTGAAAATTTGAAAGATAATTTCGAGCGTTTTTATTTGCTATGATTTTTTTATGTGCAATTGAGGTTGTTGCTCTAAAGCTATGATTTTTCTATGTGCAACAATATGAGATTTTTGGGCCTAATTTTGGTGATTGACTCAAATTTGGTTGCTCATATATTGCAGGCTACTGTTTATAACACTGTAAATTGTAATGGTTAAACGAAACACTAAAAAAAGAGCTTCTCTCCCAAGTCCTGGGGCCGCCACCACTCCTGCCGTGGGTACGGGACGGGGCCGGTCTTACCGTTATCGGCCAGGCACAGTTGCTCTCAGGGAAATTCGCAAAATTCAGAAATCTGTTAACCTATTGATTCCTGCTGCGCCTTTTATCCGAACGGTATGCAGTACTTTCATCAACCAATTTGAACAATATTTGATTTTTTGCTCATGTTTTGGTAGAAATAAACTCAATTAGCCATTTTGTGCAATGTCTAACCCACTATTAACATGAGACCAAGTTTTGTTTAGGTAGGAATATGTAGTGTTTATAAAAGTATTAGAGAAAGTATATGAATCCAAATTTGGAAATATAAAAAATTTCCAATAATTCCGTTTAAGATGATTGATGTGAAGCCTAGTAAACCTTGGTTTGCTTCATTTGCTAAGAGTTGGGATTGAAGTAGTGTTTGTTGTCGGTACCTTGGTATACTTTAAGTGGAGGTGTATCTGAGTTGATGATATGTTCTCTCTTATATGGTGGCAATCTAATTTGATATATTAAAAACTTCAATGTAAATGGGTTTGTTTGGCATCAGTTTTGGTTTTCAGTTTCCTGATTTTTTGAAAACCAAAAACCAAAAACAGGAAACAAGAAAAAGGTGTTTCTACTTTTCTGTTGTCAGTTTTAAAAATTACCATAATTTTAATAAGTTTATATAATTTTTTATTAATTATGGGACTCATATCATATACTTTTAGAAAATAAAAAACCAAAAATAAAAAAACTACAACAATGCCAAACGAAATTGTTGTTTTTGTATATAGAAGCTGAACTTTCCTCAAAAAAGAGGTGGATTGTTGACTGTGAGTTCATTTAAGAGCTTAGTGAGGTAATAAGCCAAGCATTTTAGTGTTATCTTATTGACCTAATCCCTCGCACTTGATGGGACATTTTCGAAAATGTCATTGTATACTAATACTGCCTCCAACTTAAAGACATTTTCACCTTCTTTTGGCTTGTCCCATTGTATCAATCTTATCTGGTTAAACAATGCATATAACATATATCCCAATATAACTTTTTCAATCCACAACTAGTAACATATGTATTCTAATTTAGGATGTCAGAGAAAGTCAGTGAAATTAACATGGATGGTAACAATATACTTTGTATAATTAGAGGGAGTATTGTTGTAAGGAAGAGTAAAACATTAATGATAAAACCACATCCTAAAGAAGTATACATGAAAACTACTATCAAAGGAACTTAATGATAAAAGGACCCTTGCTTGCTTTTGTGACTTGCAGGAGTTAGGGATATCACCAAGTTGCATGTAAAAGCTACTGTATTGTCTAATACAAGGGTATGCTGTCCAATCTAAAACACATTATCTTTCAGTCAAAGTTTCTATTGGTGCTCATAAAAAGCTCTCAAGATTTATATTAATTTGAGGTGATTCATGAGTTGGCCGAAGTCTTAAGACACGTCTGGTTGCAAAGGGAATTAACTTTCCATGGTAATTTACAATTCATGGGAAATTATTTCCTTCCTCCAATTCCTAGGAAATTGCTTAGTGTGTTTGGTTGGCATTAGGGAAATTACAATTCCTAGGAAATTTGATTGACCTAGGGGGAGGTGGGTAAATGAATCCCACATGTGGAAAATTGAAATTCCTAGGAATTTCTATTTCCTCCATTTTGCATTTTTTTTGTTTAACCAAATAACAACCATTTATGTATTTCCTAGGAATTTTGAGTGCTTACATAAAATTGTTGCAACCAAACAAGGCCTTAAACTAATAAATTGCCTATGTAAGATCATTCTACTATCCTAGTATGAATAAGTTAATTTAGTTTCTCTATCAACCTTTTTTATGCTGCATAAGCCAATATTTCTCTATTTTGATTAAGCCTGAGTAAATCAGATGCTAAATTTTGCGAGTAGGAATAGTACCTACTACTATCTGATGTGAACTGAGTATATATCGACAATAGGGTGTTCTACATCAGTTTGAGCAACTGTCAAATCAGTTCTCAAATCCACAAGTTTTTCTAAGTTGAACCCTAGATCTTGTTGAATCTAAAGCTCTTAAATTTATTCCCAGTCTGGTACTTACAAAAAATGTATTCTATACTCCAATCCACTCTAATTCTTGATTGATTCATTTTTCTACTGTGGATGCTACATACTAGCATGAGTTTTACGTATTTGATTTATTAGTATACTTCTTGAAAGATCACTTTGATTCACTTCTTTATGTTACTTGGAAATTGTATAATTTGCTGGTCCATATCCTATTCTTTATTAAGGGAAGTGTATTTTCCTCTTTGGTACTTGTAAGATGGACTAATGTGTGCCCATTACCAAGTTCTTTTCAATATTTGGCTCATGTTTTAAGTAACAGAATATCAACTCGTGATAGAATTTTATTGGTGTGAAGCCGTGAATTTAATTCTCACTGACTTGGGGAAGTAGAATTAAATGAAACAATGAATGTAAGAAGTGAATGGAGCACTTAATAATTGGTAGAGCTAGCATATGGAAAAGCTAAGTTCAATGAAGTGGAAAGAAGTGAGCGTGAGCCTTCATTTGTCTTTTTGATTCTAACCAAACCATAATAATGCATCATAAACCAATCTAAATCGTAACACACCCAAATGATAACTGTCCTGTACGTTACAATGAAACTTTCGTTTTTCCGCCAAATAAAATTAAGGAAAATATAGCCAGTTGAGTTCAAAATAGAGAAAGATGGCCTGGCATTGTTAGAATTTCATTTTAATATCTTAATCTCATTTTAATTAACATGTTTATATTTCATATTTACTTATTTTTTTTATTGCGAAATGTAATGCACTAGGTTAGATTAGCTATATGTCATTATGCCCCCATCTAGGTTGGGTTGGAGAATTTCAGGTTAGGCTCTTTTTTCATGTCTATGTAATTTGGGTTTGATCAGAACAATGCCTTTTAAGTTTTAATGAGACTGCACTAATCTATTATTGTTATAGTACAATTTTTATGGTTGGTTTGGTGCTTTTAGAACTTTTTTGTTATGGTAAAGTACTTGCTACCTTTTATCTCTTACATCTCTTGCAACTTTGGTATACACCATCACACTGACAGTTATTTTTATAGGTGAGAGAGATTACTCACCAGTTCTCTCCTAAAATTGGTCGTTGGCAAGCTGAAGCTCTGATGGCCATTCAAGAGGTTAGACCTTATTTTATAATCTTTTAATTTCTGAGTCCAGATTTTAGTCTGTATTATATTTCTGCCAAAAGTGATCTGTGTCAATCATAACTTGGTTTATGCTTGTTTGGGCATTGTCTTAGGATATTTAAACAGGATTTGAAACAATCTCTTCTTATTGACCCCTACGCACTCATTACTGTATAATTTGATGGCCTTATTTTTTTTTTTTAACCTTTTTTATTAATATTTTTTAATGTGTTTGCACAGCTAAATTGGGAATCAAATTGAGAAATAGATAACTATTTACCATGAAAACAATTGACAGAAAGGGGGGAAAACTAACTTTTTGCACAGGATTAGGTCCTTCAGAATGTTGAATTTATCGGATAATGCACTCTTTTGAGTTTAGAATCTTTTGACATCATGTGTTTTAAGCTTTAAGTACTTTATTTACTTCATGCTCTCTTCCTAATATGTGGTTGTTTGACTTCTTTTCTTTATTTAGACTCGAAAGGACATTCGGTCTTTGTTGTTTACGATTATTAAGGTGGCCAACTGTACACCCCCCCCCCCCAAACCCACCCCACCGGCACACCCCATCTTATTTTTTTTTCCTGAAAACTTCTGGCTTTGACTAGTGAGACTTTGTATAAGTCCAGATTCTTGATTTCAATAATTATATTTCTTTATGTTCAGATGCTTTTGTTAAAATCCTTTATGCATGTGCTTAATAGATAGTTTACTGTGTGTAGGCTGCAGAGGCTTTCATTGTTCGTTTGTTTGAAGATGGGATGCTTTGTGCCATTCATGCCAAACGAGTAACACTCAGTAAGTGTTTGGAGTTATTTGGGTGCTGCTTCTATTATGGATTAAGTTAACACAACTGGGTATCAATTTCATGACCAAAAATCTGGCCAATAGGTTTTTATTTTTTGGTTAGAAAATTGTCCTCTGCAATTAATGCTGAATCTTGTGTCCATGTTTGTTTGATGCATCTACTATATCTTGTCTAGTAGCTGCTGCAATTGTGCTCAATTAATTCCTAGCTAATTCATCATTTGTCTAAGAAATCACTTTATAATTACACTTCGTATTATTTCTCTGGATAAGTCTTATCCTGATTCTTAAGGGGTGTTTCACCTCATAATTGACTTGATTTGCTTTATCAGAACTTTCTATAAATCATGTTGATGAGTGTCATGATTTATCCTGCTTGAATACTACTAAGCTTCTATTTCCAGGGATATAATATATTTGTTGACTTGCACGCCTCTGCAAACTTAGCATCAGATATTCAGAATAGATAAGTTTTTATGCATTCTTCATCCTTGTTCCCTTTAGCTTTGGCTTAAGGCATTGGTTTTTGTCTGCTAACCACCAATCCACCATAAAATACTCTGTAAGAAAAAAAAATTAATAATAAAAGATAACAACCATGTAATAGATAGTAATCGGGTTGGTTTGAAATAAATTAATTGCTAGTGGTAGAATATTAAAATCATTGGATGTAGCCCTAATTAAAATACAAAAGAGAGGGGTTTAGACTATTTGGCAATTGCCCACAAGTGCAGGCATTCTTCCTATTCTTGATGATCTGATGAAGATGAGCCATAAGCGTTCCTGTTCATATATATGTTAAAGTTGTGGACAGTTTTTTTTTTTTTTTTTCATTTGGGGTCACGTAATCATCAAATTATAATATTAAGCCTTATGTAATGATTGGTTAAGTCACAAAAGGCAAGGCCTCAATTTTTGCAGAATTCTTTTTAAACTAGTTGAAAAATGGTATATTTTGACTGGTTGCCTTCCTGCTGGATTTCTCTTCTGATTTACAATTTTGATGCAGTGAAAAAGGATTTTGAATTGGCGCGAAGGATTGGAGGGAGAGAAAGGGGCTGGTGACTGATATTTATAGGCCAAACACTTGTATTAGTTGTTGGTTTCACCTGTATATACTGCAGTAGACTGTAGTCCAATGTAATCAGAATCACCAGATGAAAACTGAGCAACTCATGATGTAGCATCCTGACTTAGTGGCAAATGCAGTTTGTGTTGTGTGGCTAAGAACAATTGTTTGATTTTACTGGTTATTGGAAACCAGCATCCTGAGAACAACTACTTTCAAATCTTTTCTGTGTCAAAGCATACTGACAGTCCGGTCAAGAGGAACTTACAGTCTTACAGAGAAGAGCGGGTTTCCATTTGCTCGAAGATTGCACTGATGTGTCACTATTGCGCCTTTGTTTGCCATTATAGCATCTTACAGACAACCTTTTGTTGTCAACTAATGCTGAAATGTGAAGCACATAATGTTTGACTGGAGGGAAATCTGTGATTTTAAGTAGATAGCCAGACCTGTTAGCATTTCAAATTCGTTTTGCCTTAGAACTCATTTGCTTTTGAACTGCCTCTGTTTTATATTACGTGCAACATTTACTAAAAATAGATGCTACACTTTATTTGCAACAAATGTTTTCTTTTCTTTTATAGGTCGTTATTTCTCCCTATTTCTCTCCACATCACATGCTTTTTTATATTTCTTTCTCCATTTACCACTCACATACAAATTTGTCTAGAAGTCTGATGTTTTTGTTGCACATAAAATGTAACGGAGGTAATATTTTATTTATTTAAATTATTTATTTATGTAATAGTATTACAAAATATTAACGTTAGTAGTGAGTAGTGACTTGTCCTCTTTGAACGATCCCTACTATCTATCATTTTAGGATGGTCCTAACGTTAGGGGGGTGCTAATAATGACCCCTAACACATTTTTATCGGCCGGGTCGATTAATATTCGTTAATAATGCCATGTCTTGTTTTCGTTAGGCGTTATTAAAAAGCTAATCCTCCGCCACTCTAAACACTCACCTCCATCCTTTTCACCATCTTCATGTTATCTACCAGCTGCTACACACCCTGAACAATCTTTCACCGCCATTATTGGTCGGGTTGAGTATCTAAACTTTGGAGTGCTTAAATTCATGTTTCCATTCAATACATTTCATAAACTAATCCATTTCCTAATTGATGAATCCTACACCCTAGTGTAGGGTCATCTAACTACACCCCCGTACAAAACAACGTCGTTTGATCTAACTCCCCCCCCCAACACTAACCTCTAACCTTTATTTGCAGTAACTTATTTAATTAATCCCCCTACCACACATATTATATAATAAAATAAAATAAAAACAATCATTTTCTCTCTCCTCACTCATCTCTCTAATTTTTCTCTCTCTACACCCATTTCTTTGCCATTTTCTCTCTTATCAAAAGTTTTAACTGTAAAATTTTACAAGATTATCGTAAAAATTGTTCAACTACTATGAAATTCAACAACATAAGGTGAAATTCTAAAGAGTAAGTTATTTTATTTGAATTTGGAACAAAAAAAAAGTATAAGCCCTAGATTTTACTAATTTTTTTGTTGCTATATATTTTGGGATGATAATCGAAACATCAACCATGAAAAAATGTTTATCAACGTAATTATTATACTGTAGTTTTAGTAAATCAAAAGTAATTTTTATTATAAAACTAGTAAATTAAATCAGTATATTCTTAATTTTTTTTGCAGAGCAAAGGAAACAATTTCAGGAAATTCGTAGTATTTTTTTTTATTTTTTTTTTTATGAATGTTCATTTCCATTTTGTTAGATGTTCATTTATATATTAGTATGCAACCATTCACATTTTAATAAATGACTAGTATACATGTTCATTCATATAATAGTACATAGTCATTTATGTAATAATGTTTATCCCTTTTCATAGTTTGGAGTGGAAAATTATTTTGATGATTGTTCATTATTATTTTGGTGGATGTTCAATCTCATAAAAGTATACGATCATTCACAATTTTACATATTAATATATGATTTTTATAATTTTGATAAAAATTCATATTTTAATCATTTCCTTCAAATATTTCATATTCATTTCAATTTTGAATTTCAATATATGTCATTTCTTATGTAGATGCATGGTAAATTAAATATTAATAGCTTCAAGAGTTTATTCATGTATATATTTCATGTTCTTCAATCATTACCTTTCATGGTCATTTTCATACTAATAAATGTTCAATTATATATTAATAGATGTTCATTTCCATGTTAATTATGTAAATATGTTCATTTATGTATTAATAATAATAGTTGTTCATTTCCTTGTTGAATTACATAAATATGTTCATTTATGTATCAATAGTTGTTCATTTCCATATTACTAGATGGTCATTTCCACACTAATATATGTTCAATTAATTTATATATTATATATATATGTTCATTTATATTGATAGATGTTCATTTCCACATCAATCATGTCAATTGTATGTTATACTCATGCATGTTCATATTTATATGAAAATTGTTTCATTCTAATACTTATTCTTGCTCAAGTCTAATACGATAACTTATATGTTTTTGTCTATTAGTTAAACAATGAACAGTGAATATAATGAGTTAAACCACACAATAGCAAGGAAAAAAGAAAGGCGGCAGAACTAAGAAAATCAAGAAGACGTGGAGTCACTAAGCAATATGAAATAATAACACGTGCTTGAATTCTCTGAATTTGAATCGAGAAGGAAGTTTATTTTATTTGATTATACGTATGAAATTGTATTATATATTTTAATATCTAATCTTTGGTGAAATACAATATAATGTATTTTGATTTTATTAAGAAAGAAATAAACCTTTTCTTTTCTCTGATTGAGTATTAATATAAATCACATAACATCTAGATAGTATATATATAATGATCATATTAGAAAAACAAGATGTTCATAAACAAAACATCTAGATGGTATATATATAATGATCATATTTGATGATATACAAATTCACTTAGCTTTGATTTTATTAAGAATGAAGGAAACAATCCAGTTTCTTTTTCCTTGAGCACTACATATAGCCAAATCCTTATTAAATAAATATCTAGTGATCTAGCTAGTGCCTACTACAAATACAATGGTCATACCAAAACAGAAATTTGACTAAATGTTCATAATAACTTACAGTTGTGATTGAGCATTACCATTTTAAAACAATTTTCAATTATAAATCTTTCTTAAAAGCATATTCCATATATATTTCATAAGCTTCTGCTTGAGATTTAAATCCTTTGCCCTAAATTTCAGACTTAATTAGTTGCTTCTTCATAGACCATATCATCCTTTTTTTATATTGCATAATTTATAATCTACAATTATTGTAAGTGAACTTAAACAAGTTTAAAAATGATCAATTATAAATATATAAAATATTCAATAACAAAACTGCACATGATCAAATTTTAAAATTTTAAAATATAATACTATCAAAAACAAAACTGTATACACAAATGATCATTTATCACTTTAAAAATGAACAATAATCTATTATTATATCACTAGCAGAAGTGCATATGATAATTAAATGATAAGTAAAGAAAAGAAATAAAAAAAAGAAAGGAAAAAAAATTGAAAACTAACAACGGAAGAAAAAAGAAAAAAATCAGGTTGTTAAATTTAGGGGGGGGGGGGTGTAGGTAGAACACCCTAGAACCCTAACTAGATACAATACAATGTAGCTTCATGGGGGTTGTAGGTAAAACACCCTACACTGGGGTGTAGGGTAAAATTTTCATCAATTTCCTAGTTCATTTCTCTAAACCATAACTTGTTTTCCTTTTTCGTGTCCACATCACAAAACCGAGAAAAACTGATTTTGTAGCCTAATAATTTTGATCCAATTATTATTTTTTGTATAGGCCTTGAAATAAGCTTTCCAACCATATATCATAAGCCCAATTCCAATTTAAAACGAAGAAGATATGAATGAAATACCAAACTCTATCCAAAACTGACACCGTCTCACTATTTTGGCCATATCTTTTATTCTACAAAGTATTTTAGTCTGATTTTAATTGGGTTAGAAAATAGACTTCAACACTTTCTAACGACATATTATTTATCTTATTCCGATTTCTGGATCAAAATATATGATAAAAACAAAAATCGCAAAAACTGTTGTCTATCGCAAGAGTATTATTCCAATTCGAATTCTTATGTTTTCTTAATTCTTCGACCTTTCTTTTTCCTTATAAATAGAAGTCATATAACCCTTTTTCAATCATCAACAAGATTGATCACCAAATCATTATCTCTTCCTCTCTTCTACACCAAAAATCATTCTCCTCTATCTCTCATACTCTAAGCCTTAAACCTATATTTCTAATTACACCATACTTCCCCTAAGCACTCCATGAAGTCCATACAATACCCAAAGTTCTGTACTTAAACCAAGGCGTGAAATAATTAATTGAGGGTTTGGACCAAATCATCTCTACTTTTTATTTAGTTTAATTTAATTTCATGTGATTTATATTTTTAGTGAAGTTACTAACAGTTTATTCATGATGTAGCAATTCAAGGAAACGCAGAAAGTGAGTAATTAATCACTTAATTACTCTTATTTTTATTCTTATTGGTAGTATCATGATTAGTTTATTTTATATTTGATTTGACTAACGCTATTATTGTTAAATTGCTTCCAATATTAATGTTTGTTCTGTTGTTATTATTGATCACCATATTGCATGTTAAAGGGAATATGTAAATGAAAATCACGCCTAATAAGATAATTTGGACAACCGGTTTAGGTTCCTTTTTAATCTTGTTGTTTAATCAAGTGATCACTAATATTTTAGAATTATGTGCTGCATTAACATTCAACCAATTTAGCGTAATAATAGATTGGAGAGAATTGAATCTTTGTTTGCATGCCTTTGAGATCGCAGGAATCACTTTTCACAATAATAATCGAGTAGAGGCCAATACGGGCGAATATGACTCCATGACTCACTTCGTACCATCATCCCTAATCCTCCTTTCATGGTTCTGAATCATATGGAGTTAGTAATCTCATGGATTATGAATGGGGTGTAACCTTCACGAGTCAATCGTTGTTGCCTATCGTTGTCCCTTTATTCGTGGTTGCCTTTTATGATCCATGAACAGTTTACAAGTTCCTTAAAAACTTGTTGGTGCCTCCCTACTTTCCTTGTCCCTAATCGTATTATGTCAATTCCCACTTCCTATGAGTGTCAAGCATATTCACACATGCTTTAACGTAGGCACATTTAAAACGACGCCTAACACACCCTATCCTAGCTACCAAAAACAATAATATTTGATGAACCATATTGCTACCATCACTCTCGATTGCAATTTCGGTATGGCTTTGGTGGTTTAATTCAATTCATGGCTTGTAGGGTGGAATTGGCTAAAGATGGGGATGACAAGGAAGGTAAGTGGTATGAAAATTTGGGTGGATGGTTAAGGGTGTGGTGGGTGCAATGTTAGATAGACCAGGAGAGGAAGATTCAACACGTGGCAACCTTCAAATCATTTTACCAGGTCATAATAGGTTAGGCACTTTTAAGAACCCCCCTTTCCCTAACGTTTGGACCGTCGTAAGTTATCAAAAATAGGAACTGTAGACACCCATTTGTGTCTCCCCAAAACCAAACCCAGTGATGAATACCTTTCATGTCATTTGATTATCGAACAAAGAAAAAGTGTGAAAAGTCTAGTGATGAGGATGTTTTTATTAA